GATTAGAAATGCAGGTCTGGAAGCTCAAACGAGAGGGTTCATCTCATGGTTGAAACTGTTCAAGTGGTTGATGTTGCTGAGTTGGGAGGAAGGATTCAAAAAGAAAGGAAGAGGGCCCAGGACAGGATTTGGGGGATTTTGGTGGTGGGCTGGAGTGGGAGCAATGGAGAGAAGAGGAATTGGTGAAAGAGGGAGAATTTAAGAACCTGCAGAATGTGCTGCATGGGAGCCCAGGCTGTGAGAATTTCAGGAAAGAAGGGAGAGCCCATTGTTAACTGCTGCAGAAGGCCTGGGACCATGAGCACTGAGGGCAGAAGACCATTGGTCTTCACTGTTTGAAATTCTTTCTGATTTTGTTGGTGTTAACTTTAGGGCAGAGCTTCGTAGGTTTTTGTAAGTTAATAGGTATTTATATTCTTGGTCCCGATGTTTATCTTTGCTTAGAAACCCATATCTGAAGTGTGCAAAATGTCTTCATTTCTTACTCTATAGCCAGTACGAGTCTGGTACATACTGGAATTTCGTGAAAGGAATGTCTAACATACAGCCCCTGTCAAGGTTCTTATTGGAATTTTGGCCTGAAACCCCCCTTCTGTCAATGCTGCTTGTCACCCATGCAGCCTCTGTTGCCTTTGCCACCTCAGTGTGCCCTTCCCAGAATTGTACATATGCCCCAGAGGCCAGTTGCCATTTCTGATAAAACATCAAAGGATAATCAGAGAATGAACGCAAGAAAGAAAGGGAGAAGGTGATAATACACATTGTTTTCCAGGCACCATACTAAATGCTTTGCCTTCATTATCTCGTTTAATCCTCATAATAATCCTGTGAAGTAAGTAGTATTATCCCCATTTTACAGATGAGGAAACTGAGATGCAAAGAGGTTAAGTGACTTGCCCAAGATCACACCACTAGTAAGTAAGCGTGAACCCAGATCTGTCTGACTTCAGAGCCACTGTTCTTTTTCGTGACATTGTACTGAGGCTCTGAGTTTGGAATACTAAACTTGCTGTACAGACCCAAGAGTCAGGGAAGCTCTGCCTCTCTTCCTGGGGGAAGCCAACTTTGGGTTGGGATGTATAAATGGTTGTACCAGTTGCTGATATGTGTATCATTTTTGCCTTAAGTTATTTTTAATTGTTTACTCACCTCTCTAAATCTTATTAAGAAGAACTTTATATAATTGGTGTTCTTTTATTGTCCACTAACAACAATTAAAGATTGGTTGCTTCTGGAGGTGGGGAAGGGTGGGGCAGGAGGCTGTTGTTTTCTGCTATGAGTCCTTCTATACTAACAGATTTTTTTATTATGTTACTTTGATTTTATAAAAAGTCCTCTAAAGATTAGTGATGAGATACAATAGCAAATACTGTGAATACACAAAAGAACACACTTTGTTTAGTTAATGACTGTGAGGTACATTCTTATAAAATCACAAAACTGACATTTTATGCATCTGTTCTTTTATTTGAAGGTTCGTAATGAGTTTTATAAGGACACACAGGGTGTGATACTGGTCTATGATGTTGGGCAGAGAGATTCTTTTGATGCCCTTGATGCATGGCTGGCAGAAATGAAGCAAGAGCTTGGACCTCATGGAAACATGGAAAATATTATATTTGTAGTGTGTGCCAACAAGGTAACCTCTTTGGAAATGGTACGCTCAACTTTCTAGGGGAAGAGTGGAGTTCTGAGTTCTGGGGAACAAATAAACAGAAGAGAAAAATTCCTTAATAACAGCCTTTCAAAACATGTGTCCCTAAGACAAAAACAAAAACCTGTTATATCAGGATTTTTATCCATTTTTTTTCTGGTGCCATACTTGGAGAAGGACGTTGGTGACTGAGCAGGAGAGATGGAGCCTAATAATCACACTCTGACCTGATTGGACGAAGGGCAGTAATTAGGTGAAATGTGGACTATGGAAAGGTATGAAAAGGCGACTGTGGCCTCTTGGCTATGGCAGATATGATGAAGCCAACTGTCACAGGGGCGAGTAGCAGCTGTTTTTCCAAGGGATGAAATGGCACTAGTCCTGTTGCCACAGAAAGTCAGTCTATATTAATGTCGTCCTTTTCTTTGTCTCTTTTGGTCCTCGTAATTTTATGCACTAGTGCTGGAGTTAAAAATAGTTTTTGCCTCAGTAAAGGATTGACAAAGACCTCACTGGGCTTATTCTAGTGGAACAAGGTTGGCATCTTCTCTCTGTCCCCCGACTTTCTATTTCAGATCGACTGTACCAAGCACCGCTATGTGGATGAAAGTATAGTCCTGTTGCCACAGAAAGTCAGTCTATATTAATGTCGTCCTTTTCTTTGTCTCTTTTGGTCCTCGTAATTTTATACACTAGTGCTGGAGTTAAAAATAGTTTTTGCCTCAGTAAAGGATTGACAAAGACCTCACTGGGCTTATTCTAGTGGGACAAGGTTGGCATCTTCTCTCTGTCCCCCGACTTTCTATTTCAGATCGACTGTACCAAGCACCGCTATGTGGATGAAAGTGAAGGGCGTCTTTGGGCTGAAAGCAAAGGGTTTCTGTATTTTGAGACTTCAGCACAAACTGGAGAAGGAATTAATGAGATGTTCCAGGTAACCTAGCATTTTGTTGTTGTAGGGTGTGTATCAAGGCCAACCATGCCAACTTTTAATTTATGAGAAGTAAAAAAGTAATAGGAATTTCTAATTAGAATAAACTCTTTTCAAAGAAACTGGGGAGACAGAGAGTGAGAGTGAGTGTGTGTGTGTGTGTATAAGTGACCTGTCCATTGTCTATTTTAGACCAGACCTGGTTTATCATCAAAGTTACAGATTTCTGGGTTTCAGACATACAGGAAACTTAATGTTACTATGGAGCCTAGAAATCTACATTTTCAAAAAGCTTTCCAGATAATTCTGATGATCAAATTTGACAACAGTCATTACACACTACTTAAGCAGAACAAAGATTTTCTTCAGAACTACCTTTGGTTAATGGTGTTACATTTGTATGCATAATCAAATGGAAACATGACTGGCAGAACTGCCTTGCCAGCAGGGAGTAGAAGGCTGTGCTCGTGTTGCAACCTGAATAGATGGTAACATTTTAAAACTTACTAAACTTGAGTAATTTTAAGAGAAAGAGGCTATTTAAAATAAATTATAAAGTCAACTCTTAATTATAGATATATTTGGAAGTAAGTGGTGGCATGAATAATGTATTTTTCTTCTTATGAATATATCTGATTTTGGGGGAATTTTTAGCATTTCAAATAATGTAGTTATAGTATGAAGAGTTGTTCTTAATTATTGAGTGGGATTGTATTTAACTTTTTATACTGAATTTCCTTCTCACAAGATGTCACCGCTCCTACTAGAAGACAGGTTTCATCCCTGGCTGACAGGCTGAATTGGGCATTAATAGCTTCTATTTCAAGATCAGATAAAGTTGATGTTGGTTTGCCATACTTTCTATTCTTTTGAGTACATAGACGTATGTGAGTTTGTACCTACATATATGTAATAGTCTTACTGAACTGTTGGAATAGTATTTCACAATTCTGGAGAAGTTACATGTCTTATCTCATTTGAGGCTTGTAACAACAGTGCAGGTACTGTTCTCATTTCATATATGATATGAGAACATTTAATGGTAGCACAGTGATTTGCTCAGAGGGCATAAATAATAACTGGTAGAGATATTTCTTTCAGCACTTTAGCGATGTTGGTCTGTTCTCTTCTGACCTCCATTATGTCTCGTGAGATGTTAGCACCCGTTCTTACTCTGATTCCTCTGGACAAAGTGTCCCTTCTTCCCCTCTGGCTGCTTTCAAGAGTTTCTCTTCATCTTTGGTTTTTTAGCAGTTGGACTACAATGTGCCAATGTGTGATTCTCTTCCAAGATTGGTAGGTGGTGTTATTCATCAAATTTGGGAAGTTTTGGTTGTTCTTGTGGTTTTTACCATTATTTCTTCAAATATCCTTTTGGCCCCTTTCTCACTCTTTTCTTTATTGGGCTCCAATTACATGTGTTTAGACCATTTGATTTTGTCCCACAGTTCCTGAGGCTATGTTTATTTTTCTTCCATTTTTTTCTCTGTTTTTCAGATTGCATAGTTTATTGATTTGACTTCAAGTTCACTGACAATCTACTGTTAAACTCACTGAGTGAATTTTTCAATTCAGTACTTCTCAGTTCTAGAATTTGCATTTGGTTCTTTTGTATAATTTGCAGTTCTCTGCTGAGATTCTTTAGCTGTTCACTCAAGAGTATATTTTCCTTTAATTCTTTGGACATGTTTTCCTTTACTTCTTTGAAATATTTATAATAGCTGTTTTATAGTCTCTGTCTGCTAAGTTCAACATTTGAACCATCTTGGGTTCAGTTTCTATTGACTACTTTTTTTCCTGACTATGGATCACATTTTCTTGTTTCTTTGTATGAGTAGTGATTTTTGACTTAACACCAGACATTGTGGATAATACATTGTAGACACTCTAAATTCTTTTATCTTCTTCAGAATAATGTTGATTCTTCTTTCAGGAGGCAGTTTAATTATTGGCAGATTACAATGAATTTATGTAGGCTTGGTTTTCTGCTTTAATAGCAAGGATCTAAGGGAAGCCCAAAGTGTTTCCCAAGGCCTTCTAATTTGGCAGGACTCAGCTTCCACATTCTGTCTTTCTTACAGATCTTGTCAGCTCTTGGCTTTAAGTTTTTTTAGGATGAGTCTAACTCCTGAGACACTGCCTGTCTGTGCTGCCTCAGCTAGATGCTAGGTGTATCAAAGAGCTGTTAAGGCAGTCTCTCTACTCTGCCAAGGCCTAACTCTAGTGTCCCCAGGGCAGCTCTTCTCCTAGCACCAATAGACTTCTAGTATGTTGGGTTTGTTCGCAATCCCATAGCAGCAGTTATCTGGTAAACCTCAGGTGATCTTATCCTATGTACGTACAACCTAACCCTCAACTACAAACTCATGGGGAATCCCCACATGGACTTGGGGCCCAACTCTGCAGAGCTCCCTCCTCTCCAGTTCCCTGCTCTGCAGAATCTAGCTACTTCAGCAGACTTAAACTCTGATCTTTGCCTCCTAAGCTCAGTGAGAATCTGTGTCTGCTCAGACTCCAGCTCTGTGACTTGGTCAGGAAACGGAGTCCACATAGAGAACCAGGTGAGTGTGAGGCTTATCTTTCAGGGAGCAGTCTTGCATTATCCTCGGCCTGAAAATAGTCCCTCATGTTTGTCCAGTCTGATATGGCAGGACGTCTAGTCTAGCACCCATCACTCCATCATGCCTGGAATTCAGACATGAAATTTAAACAGGCTTTTGACCTCAATCCTAGTGTTCCATATACCACACCACAGCTTGTCACCTATAACCATGTGTATTATGGATGAATACTTGTCCCCTCAGAAGTCTGTATTTATATTTCAGGTTAACACGTAGGCTAAAAGAACATCTTACTGATACATATCACTAGCAAACATCCGTGAACTGTGTTCGCTTTTAGTGGCTTTTATCCTTTTAGATACATCTTGGGTAGAACTAATGGATGAGTTAGTCTGTTTAAAAAAAAAGTCATAACAACACTATTCTGATAATATTCAGATAATAACACTATTCTGTAAGCAAGCACTTAGAAGTAGTGCTTTCCTGCTGGTTCAATTTAATAAATTTTTTTTTCTTTGTTTCTTATCTACCAAGACACTTTATGTCAGCAAGGAACTTGGTTTTGTCTGATTGACATTGCTAACAGAGAGAGCAATATTAAGATAGACTGAAGCCAAGTTAACATTTTTTTTTTTGTCTTAGTCTCTAGTGGCTTTTCCTTGACACCCCTTCTCATATGTCAAGGCTTCTTGGTAGATTACCAAGTTGATAAGCTATTTCTGGAGATAAGAAAGAGGAGTCTAAAAAGAAAGATAAAATTTTTAGAAGATGATAGGAACTATAGAAGAATCTGAAAAAGAAGAGGAGTAGATTTAAAAAGAAACTGAGGGCAGTGGAAATATGTCCATTTAAAAGCAGCTATAGTATATTAAATTAATATTTTGTGTAAAGTTCATCAATAATAATAATAGCACAAGTGTGTGAAACATGAGCAGTATCAAAACATAGTTTTCACTTTTAAAAAATCATAAAAGTGGGCAAAGAATATGAAGTTTGCAGAAAAAGAAAAGGTAAGCATATGAAAAGATACTCACTTTCACTTATTATTAAAGAAATGTAAATCAAAATCATGAGATGCAGATCAGATTGGTAAAGATTAAGATGTACAAGGGTATTTCACAAAGCTCATGGAAAAATAGAATTAAAAGGTAATACAAATCTTTCCATGAGCTTTTTGAGGACCCGTCATATGATAATGTCCTGTGTTAAGGAGGGTATGGGCAAAATAGACACACTCACGTACCATGATGGGAATGTAAACTGGTACAGCCTTTTGGTACAATAGTTGTCAAAGTCAAAAATTAAAATGACAGACACTAGTGCTGCTTTTAGGAATTTATCCCCAAACGGTATCCCCACAAGTGTGCAGAGATGTATACACAAAAAAATATTCACTAAAGCACTGTTTATGGAAGCAAAAAAACTGGACACAACTGACTTGTTCAAGAATAGAGAATTGGTAAATAAGTTATGGTACAGCTACACAATAAACTACTGAACAGTCATTAAAAACAAAGAGGGTCTCTATATGTACCTATAGAAAGATTCCAGGATGTATCATTATGTGAAAAAAATGCAAAGTGCTAAGCAGTGTGTTCAGTGATCTCTTTTATGTAAATGTTTAAAGAGTATGGATATGTGTATGTACTGATCCACTGACAGAAAATCCTTCTGGAAGGACTCAAAACAATATTAACAATTACCTGAAGGAGAGGAACTTGAGGGGTAGAGAGACAGAATTTTCATTTTACACTTTTCTTTACTGTTTGAATTTTCCTAACAGTGTTTTATCTATTACTTTTTAACCTCGTGTGGTTATTTGAGAGTAGTATTATGAGTCATTTAAAATTTATTCCTTATACTTTTTCTACATTAAAATATATGAATATATATATTTAAATAGTATAAAAGGAAAAAAAATCTTCCAAAGTACATATTTGCTTTATTCATGACTTTTAAGAGTTATTGGAATAGGAGCCTCCAGGCTGCCGAACCTGGAGGTGGAGGTGCTGGGAGTGTGGTGCACCCAGCGAGGGTGGAAGCTGCACCCCCCACCCCATACCTTGCCCTGTCCATCTCTTCATCTGGCTGTTCATTTGTATCCTTTATAGTAAACTGGTAAATGTAAGTAGAGTTCCCCTAAGTTCTGTGAGCCATCCCAACAAATTATCAAACCCAAGGAGGGAGGTCATAGGAACCCCAATTTATAGCCAGTTGGTCAGAAGCACAGGTCACACTTGCAACTGGTGTCTGAAGGGGGAGGGGGTCTTGTGAGACCTTAACCTGTGGAATCTGACACTGTCTCCGGGTAGGTATTGTCAGAATTGAATTATAGGACATCCAGTTGGGGTCTGCTGGAGACTTCTTGGTGTATAGAGAAAAAAACCCACATCTGGTCACAGAAGTGTTCTGTATTGCATGAGTAGAATATAGTAGAAATTATTTTTTTCTTTACATATGTCTTCTCTCGCTCTGACAAGTATATCTAACTTTAACCTTCAAATAAATTTTTAGCAGATTTTATCTAAATTATAGATGGGCTGGCTGGTTAGCTCAGTTGGTTAGAACATCGTGCTAACACGAAGGTCAAGGGTTTGGATCTCCATACCAGCGAGCCACCAAAAATAAATAAATAAATAGAGTTACTGGAATATATTAAAAGTCTTTAGGTTGATATGTAAATGAAATTCCTTTTTTCAGAAAATCAGTTGTACTCTGGGATGTATTTTCTTCTTGCAGACCTTTTATGTATCCATAGTTGATTTATGTGAAAATGGCGGAAAACGTCCTACCACAAATAGCAGCACTAGTTTCACCAAAGAACAAGCAGACACCATCCGCAGAATTCGAAATAGTAAAGATAGTTGGGACATGCTGGGAGTCAAACCTGGAGCCTCGAGGTAAGCAATGCTCTAGGATACTTAGTGTGCTGAGTTCTATCGTACTCACTCACCAAAGTTATAGGTGTGATATATCTTCTTCTAATTGGCTAGAAATATGAAGATGTGTGGAAATACATTAGATAACTTATGACTCTGCTTTACTGAATTAATTAAATGCCAGAGAGACAAAATAGAGGGCACAGTGGTCTGCTAAGGGAACTGTGTCGTGTATATGCATAAACCCTCTATGAAATTTTATACTCTGCTTTTGTCTGTGTTGAACAAGAGCCTTGAAGCTAATGTAACCTTAAAAAAAACTTACAAAAGAATTTAAAGTCATATAATTCTAAAGTCATAGAATTTTAGAGAAGGAAAGAGTATTAGCAACCAACTTGTCCAAACATTTCATTTTATAGGTGGGAGAACTGGGACTCTGAGATTACACATGTTCGGGGACCCCAGGATTTAGTGATAAAATTGGTTCTTGACCTCGGAACACTGAGTGTCTATCTGTCTTTAGAGAAAGATGGACAGTCTTTCTCAAAAGCCCTGCTAGGTCCAAATCTGTGTGTCTATATATTTTAAATTATTTTATTTTAGCCAAAAGAATTACTTAGGAAGAAAAGAAATGCAATCACTATTCTTTGTTGCTTGTGCAAAAATAAATTATTATTCAGTATGGTTATATAACTTTTGATGACATGATACTATTTTACTATACATATTATATATACTTATTATATAAGGGTCTGATTTTGCACCATAGCTCTCCTCCCCATGCCTCTCCCTTCCTACATTTTCACCTTGACTCCCACCACACAAAAAAAGTGTCTTGAAATTGCCTCGCCAGCACCACAAGCATTAAGTATCTCTTCTCCATTTTGGTCTCATAGCATGTCTTCAAGTCCAGAAAGAGTGGGGGAAAGGAAAAGGAAGACTGTTACTGGTCACCTTAATTTGCTAGGTGTTATGGAGGCTGCTTGAAACATGTAAAGGAACTCAGATGATCTCATGTATAGAGCACAAAGTGTATTGGTGTCTTTTAAATGGCCTTTTAGACCTCCATAGTCTCATTCTAAATTTTTTCATGTCATCTGCAAGGGATATTGGCTCTAAAATTAAGAAACCACTACTTTATCTACATCAATGAACTTAGAACAGTTTTCATTAAGGGAAAAAAAGAAATCTTTGGTTCCTTTTTATTCACTTTGGTTAATTGGAATCTATCAGAGCTTGCAGGACCTCCGTATGCTCCATATGCTTAACCAGTGTAAACATGCACTTCTCTTACCTTTGTGGGCTGGGTCTATTAAACTAATTTTGTACAGCATTGAGCACATTAGGGAAAAATCTTAAAACATTTTTAGAGACTTTTGATATTTGTTCGGTGCTAATTGTTTGCTGGTCTTGAACTCAAAGAACATCTTCATCTTCTGCAGAATCGATACATTCATTACACACCTGAATCGGTCTTGTTTCTCCAAAAAATTTCCTTAAACGTTTCTTCTGCTATTTAGAAATCTTGAAAGGCACTCTAAGTCAGAGGACCAAGCATAAGTACTAATGTGGATATGCTCCCTCCGGAGGCAGAGTGGCCAGAGGGTCCCGCCCAGGACTCACTCATGGGGAACAGAGGATGCTGTACCTGCCTCAAGGACAGAGGGTCTTTGGGAGAAGAATTCTAGCATTTCAAATTTCCACAAAGAGAGAGAATGCCATTCTTATTAGTTTATATCAGAATTATGTATGTAGAAAAACTACATGCAAGGTTAAAACAAGAAAATTCACAAGACTCTTCTAAGAACAGAAAACAGAGAAAGCCCTAGAATGTACGCCTAAGACAAGGAGAACTGTTAACATGACCCTGTGACCTCAGTCTCTTCTCCAAGTTGACACATAAAACTTTCCATCACATTCAAGATATCGAAGACCATCTCCCTAATTTGGAGAGGCAAATTAGAAATCCTTCTAATAAAAATTAAAGAGAAAGGGTAGGGCACTTGGCAAAGCACCACACCCATGCTTATAGGGTAACTGGAACCCTGAACTACAAAAGGAAGGTGGGAAATAAAACCATCTGGCAGAAGCAGAGCTCAATTTGACCAGGGGAGTGCCTGGCTACTTAGAACCTTCTAGGAGGCCTGACACCTGAGGATGCTGAAGAGCATAGGGACAGGGACAGAGGGTCTCCAGCCCCCTCCCAACTAGTTCCTGCTCTTTAAGAAGCTCAGAAAGGGCCGGCCCATGGCTCACTCGGGAGAGTGCGGTGCTGATAACACCACGGCCACGGGTTCGGATCCTACATAGGGATGGCCGGTTCGCTCACTTGCTGAGCGTGGTGCTGACAACACCAAGCTTAGGGTTGAGATCCCCTTACCAGTCATCTTTTAAAAAAGAAAAAAAAAAAAAAAGCTCAGAAACCTGAAGCTGTCTCCCAGAGCACTGCTGGTTCACAGTAACCCCCTGTTGATCTTTGGAGAAGCTGTTACTGCTCCTTTGCTCTTGGATCATATTGATCTCTCTGCTTTCTTCAGTCCCAGTGAGCTCACTGTAACTCTCAGGCACCCCTTTTCAGTGTCCCTGGCTTGATCAGTGGTGTCACCATCTTCCCCAGGCCTAAGATGCCTCATGACCTTGGAACTCATTTCAGCCTCTTTTCTTCTGTCTTCCCCTGGATATCCAGCTCATCATCTCCCTCTGCCAGTTCTTTCTGTATATTATCTCTTCTCTTCTATCTACCCTTGTTTGCTTCCACAAACACCTTAACCTAAACTCTTCTACTCGTGGCTGGGTTGTTGTAACAGCCTCCTACCTCTCTCCTAACAGCTTTCGCAGCACCTGTTTGTCATGAGACACATAATTTGTTATTGTTTATCAAATCCAGGTTTTGTGGCTGTTTTGTTTCCGAGGCCCTTCACTACTGCCCCTCCTCCCTGGCCAGCTTCGTTCCTTGTTCCTTCCCAGCACACTTCCCTCGTGGAGCGGCATGCTGTGCTCCGTTCCTGACCTCCGTCCGTTCTCTCCAGAAGCCATGTTCCCTCCCACCTCACCCTGCCACGCTGCTGTGTTAGTCCCCCAGCCCACCTTCTTTCGGAAGTCAGAAGGCCGCTCCAGGCAGCCTTCCCTGGTGCCCCAGGCCCTCATTCCGTCAGTCAGCAAAGGTCTGCTGAGTGCCTGCTGCGGGCCAAGTACCACCTGTTTTCATCTGATCATTCTTTTACTAAGCATTTCCTTAGCATTTATATACTCAGTTTGCATTATATATTTTTTCTTCTCGTATATTACATATTTGTTTGTTGTTTGTTTTCTGGTCTTTTAGTCCCACCTTTGAGAAAGGGCAATAAGTATTTGGGATATGCTTACTGGAAGCTGACTGCAAGACAGATTATGTGTACCCAGACAGCTAAAATGCAGCAGGTTGGGGCGGACCCTGTTACTAACATGCAGCTTGGCTTCCTTTCACAGGGATGAAGTCAATAAAGCATATCGGAAACTTGCTGTGCTGCTTCACCCCGACAAATGTGTAGCACCTGGTAGTGAGGACGCCTTCAAAGCAGTTGTCAATGCCCGGACAGCCCTCCTGAAAAACGTCAAGTAGAAAGTAGAGAAAAAGACAAGGGTGGGACTCAAGTGCAAACAGACTTCCCCAGAGGTGTGAAGTAATGGATTTTTCCTTCACAGAATCTCACTCTGTTTTCACTCGTGTGTTGTCGTTTGTAACTCAGTAATTCGGGTGCCTGTTACCATTTGATAGACATTTTACAGAAAGATGACCTGCATTTGTATGAAGTAGAGAGAGCCAAATGTCTCATACACTGTACTTTATTTCATATTTCCAGATCATATGAATTTTTTTCTCATTCATTTGTAAGCTCTGTAATTGTAGCATCCCTTAGGCACTTTGCTTGGGAAAGTCCACAAGGTTTCTAGATGGAGGGAGGACAGGAGGACCCTTTTCCTTCTTTAAATTCATCATCAGAGAAGGAAGCAACAAAAATGGAAGGAGACAAAACAGCAAAAACAGAAGAAAACAACATCAAAATCCCTGAAAGTTTGGTGTGACCTTACGAGCAAGTTGATCCTTTAACAATGAGTTCCTTAGGTGGTATTTTAATCATCATTCTTGAATTAATGAGTGCTGGGCAGCCCCTTGGAAGTTTGTAAAATGAAGCTATACAATTTTGAATTGAGCAGGCTTTTTATGACATCTACTGTGCCCCTTCTCCAACCACCAGGGGGAGAGAGAGAGGCGGTGGCAGCTGCAAATTCTGGATACTCTGGCTGCTGCTCTTGGATCGAGGCCTTTGCCCTGCCGTGGAAACAGTTGCTGGTGGCAGGAGAGAGCACTGTGCACCAGGGCCTGAAGAACAGACCTGGAGATGATGTGCACATCTCCAGCGGGAAGGCAAGCCCAGCTCAGGCGCGCCTGGTGCACTAGGAGAGTCCCCATAGGAGGCTTGTCCCTCATCTTATTCTTCAGCCTTTGCCACGGCAGGTAGGAAAGGCAGGGGCTTCTTAACAAGCCTGGACTCTTGCTCACTTCCACACCAGTGATATTTCCTCTTTTGGTTCCCTTTTTCTCTTCCCCTCTTGTTTTTTTCACACCCCACATCTGCCGTTCATTTCTCTTCTTGAACCTCTTGTTACTGGCCACTGCCTCCTCCATCTCCTTTGCAAGCCTGGACCTGGGCCTGGTTGACCAGGATCCTTTGGGTGGCAGTGGGGGAAGAGCTTAAGGCCTGTGTGGGAAGGAATCGCTGTAATTTTCACTTAGGCTCTGAAGAGTAGTATTTTTAAATGGCACATTATGAGTGTATTCTCTTGCCACAGGCTCCTTCTCGGTACACAGGGACGGAGGATGATCGGGTGCTCGGACTGGCATCTCTCTTCCTGTGCTCACAGAACCTCACTACTCGACTCATCCCACCATTTCTGTCATTATGTTACCCTCTTTTCTGGCTGCTGCCACTACACTGCACTACTTGGGGCTTTAAAGTATGTAAGATGTTACTGTCCCGTGAATTTTAAACAGCTGTCCCATAGTGATTGCCAAATAGCATCTACCTTACCACTTAAGGAGAAAAGCCACTTTCTTATGATCCAAGTCTATGCAGTCTTCTGGATTTTTCACCTCTCCCAAAGCAGATTTACTTTGTATGATTATACTGAGGTTGCACTGAGCTTGTCATCAGGAAACCAGAGCATTGTTTTATAGTGAGTTTTCATCTTGATATCAAAAATGCCTTTACTTTATGAACTGAGATCTGATATATGATTTCTTGTGGGATTTTCCACTGGCCTTTTAACTAGCTTCTGGGACTGCAGAACTTCAACTCGAAGTTCTTCTGGACCTAAATTTTGTTTAAGGCCTTCATCACTGAAACATACATCTGTTTTTGCCACAGACTTGTAGGAGTCATGTGAATGAGGGATCGCACATGGTAGTGTCAGCCCAAATTGACATGACAGCTCACTGAGTATGTGGCCCTGTATAAAAGCTGGTGCTGGTTATTAAGTAGCAGATTGGTCACCTCCTTCAATTACATCGTGCAGAAGAGCAATTATAGCAGAGAGAATTCTTTAGCTTCCATTCATACCCTTACAAGTGACTTGTTAAAATTTAGCCTGGGCTTGATTCTTAGGTCTTGGGACTCAGTTTTCAGCGTCCTCAAGTTTTTGGGTACTAACTTCATGCCAAACTTTATAGACCTCTATGCATTAATTTAAATTCTTGGCGCATGTGTGTGCTTTGTAGTTCAACCTTATTAAAAATTCTTCAGCCGGTTAGGATTTCCAAATATATCAGTGCGAGTAACAACTAGATTTCAATGGCTAAAATAATTATTATAGGAAATTTTGTTTTTCAAAAAAAGGATAAAAAGTTTGAACAGCTAACTATTATTAAAAGCCATGTCTTTCACATCTGAATCACCAAGAAGTAACACTTTTTAAATGTGTTAGAAATCCCTGGAGGCATTTCAAATCAGTCGTCCAACCTACCCAGCACTTTAAAGCACAGCCTCCTTTTGTTCCTCTGTTCCCTTTCCTGCCTCCGTTTGGATTGACATTCTCATCTGTCAGTGTTTCTTTTACTTCAGTATTGTCGTTTTATTTCTTCATACAAATGTGTCCTTCTTTTTATTAGCCTGTTAATTTAAAAGTCCTGATGTGGGGGCCATTTAGTTACTGTACAGATAAGTCACTATCGTTCTGTAGACTGCATACAATTCTTCAAGGCTTACATTTACCTCAGGGAACTTACTCTAGTATGTTCTCATATATTGAATTGTCAATCAGTAAATATTTATTTATATCTATAAACTAGTACCTAATTCACTGTTAGTTAAATGAGCCATAGATAAGGCAGCTAAATTTCTAAAAGCCAGAGTAAGCCCCTGCAAGCTCTGAATTAGTGAAGAAGTAACCATTCCTTAGAGAATAATGACAAAATCATGAGGGGAGGGAGAGATTTTAATCTCATGTTAGAAAGGGTGGGGCTGTAAGCCATGCCCCCATTGCCTTTGATGATGTGACACTGTGACAGTGCCCTGCTTACAAGTAATTTCAGGAGGCATGGGAATGTCACTTTCTGCTGCACCCCATAGAGCTCCCTCTGAGTCTGCCAACATTTCTGTAAAACTTTTGAAAATGAATTTAGCTGCAAAATATAGCTAACCACCTCCCATTGCAAACTTTGCAAAGTGAACGTCATACTTCTCATATTGGTATTTAGCACAACTGTAAGACACAGTTAATACTGTTTGTATACTGCTTTTCCATTAAACATTTCTAGAGAAGACAAAAGCTTACACTTGTGATGTTGACAAGTTAGATTATGTCTAACAAGTAGTGCAATATTAAGCCGTGCAATAAAGGCCCTCTTGCTGGGATGACTTTGGTTGGAAAGTTGCACAGTTTCGCTTAGCTTCCTGCATTGATTACTCCCTGGGCATTCTTCCCCTTTGACTGTGAATGCAGAGTCTATAAATAAGCGCTTTGCTCTTACAAGGTAATTTACATATTTGCTTTCTGTTGAGATAACTGAAAATGTTAAATCTACCAGTTGCTTATGTCTTGTATACAGAGTGTCATATGTATTTAAGTTGTGTATTTTTATAAAGTAAAGCCAAATATCAAACACCGGTCTGTGGGCTGCACTTATTTTTTGAGACACTGGTCTTTAATGTAAGACATACTAGGCTAGAGCCTATCCAGTTCCTCACCAACTGTGACCTTCGGTAAAACATCTCGCTTTAGTTTCCAGTCAGCAAAATGGAGGAAATTTTATTCATCGGTCCATCAGGCTGCTCTAACCTTATTATGTTGTCATAAAAATGTATTGATACCTTAAAGCAAGATACTGATTTTATGTTTGTCTTTTTAATTCAGATGCAACTGTTGTTAACTCATTTCAGTAGTGCAGATTTTGGCTGACTGACATAATATAGTTCGGTTAACTGATCCTGGAACCACAAGAACCCTTAAGTCATAGGACTATCATCACCCTAGAATTTGAAAGTGAAAATCTTGTAGGACCAGCCCAAAAGAGGTGGCCTGAAGGCTGCAAGAACAAGAGGTTCACTTTTCATTGTCAACGACAGACATTGTGCATGACAGACACTGTTTTATCTGCCCAGTGTGCCTCTCTCCTGAGAATGGCCCTCCCCTCTTGGGGAACTGCTCTGTCCTCTCGATTCTAACATGTTCAAAATGTCCAAATTCTTGTGTGATCCATCCCTGGCCACAGAGATCAGTCCACGGGACGGGAATATGACCCAAGCTCAACCAATCGGTGTCCCTCCCTGGGATCTTTCTAATTGGAGCTAGGAGGACAAATTTCCTCTCATGAGAGGAAGGCAGGAGTCCTGCCGATGCTGACAACCTTGATTCCAACTTCAGGGAAAAATATGAGAGAATGAAGCAGACCAAGAGAGAGGCAGAGTCCTGACGGCTTTAAGCCTTTGCTTCCAGTCCTTGAGGCCCTTGAACTGGTTGTTTATCAAGCCCATCAGCCATCCCAGAATCCTTCCAGTAAATCTCCACCCCTTGTTTTCTGCTTAAGTTAGTTGGAGTTTGCTTTCTGTGACTTATAATTAGAAGAATATTAGCTGGCCCGTGGCTCACTTGGGAGCGTGTGGTGCTGATAACACCAAGGCCATGGGTTCTGATCTCTATATAGGGATGGCCGGTTAGCTCACTTGGGAGAGCGTGGTGCTGACAACACCAAGTCAAGGGTTATGATCCCCTTACCGGTCATCTTTTTAGGAAAAAAGAATATTAGAAAGTAATAGCCATCAAGGATTGTAAGCAGGGATGACAAAGCTGTGGTCTGTAAACTGGTATACCATTTGATAAGTATAACGTTTTTTAAATTTTATATTTTAATTGAAACAATTGCTTATACATATTTATGGGATACAGAGTTGACTATCAGTTTTTGTATACAATATGTGATGATCGAATCAATATTATTAGCATGTTTATCATTACAAATTGTAATGATTCTTTGTGTCCCTTACCCAATTTCTCCATAACCCTCTCCCCCTTTCCCACCTCTAGTAACCATCGGTCTGTTCTGTCCTTCTGAAAGTCCAGCGTATTATTCTCCTTCTTTCCTTCCTTCCTTCCTTCCTTCCTTCCTTCCTTCCTTCCTTCCTTCCTTCCTTCCTTCCTTCCTTCCTTCCTTCCTTCCTCCCTCCCTCCCTC